GAGTGTTATCTCCATGTCCTTGAGCGAGGACCAGCATGACCTTTGCATTACCAAGTTTCAGGCCGGTCACAGCCCTTTCATTCTGCGTCTTCCTTTGGAGAGAGCCAACTCGCGAGATGCCGACTCGGAGATTTTCAACTTCTTTCACGGCCGCCAGGAACTCCTCGAAATTATTAAGATGGCCAACGAGACCAGCCATTCCTCACGAGATCTCACCACTAAGGCCGCGAGGAATGCTTGGTGGGCTGAGCGAGAAGCTCTTGATGGGAGACTAATGGAGCTTCTCATGGCTGTGGAGACTACTTGGCTGGGAGGCTTCAAGGGTATTTTTTCGCAGCACAAGAGACAGTCTGACCTTCTGGCTCGATTTCAAAAGACGTTCCAGCAGATCCTTGGCAGAACACTTCCATCTAGGACCAAGGCGCGGGGCAAGAGGACGACAGCCAAGGCTCCTCCTGCCATTACGCTGGACCCGCGAATTCTGGACCTCTTTGTTGGGCTTGGAGACCCAAGTGAGCCCGATTGCGATTTTGACGAAGCTCTCAATGATCTGCTCTACTTTGTGATAGATATCCTACAGTTCCACGGAGAGAGGAATGCCTACGATGAAATCGACTTTGATGCCATGGTCGTGGACATGTACGATGCTCTACGAGGATACTACCAGGCTACGGAAGGTGACGGCAGGCGCGAGGAAGATGCCCACACTGTGCTGGTCCTAGATAAGGCGCTCCATGCGTTCCCCTGGGAGTCTCTTCCATGCATGGACGGTCTTGCGGTTTCTCGAGTACCATCGTTGGCATGCCTGCAGCGGCTATTGAAGGAAGCAAAGATGCCAAAGGCGACGGCTCAGCAGTCCAAGGGCCACTACGTCTCGACGGAGAACGGCACATATATGCTCAACCCATCCTCGGACTTGAAGAATACGCAAAGCTATTTCCAAAAGTCGTTTAGCGAGCTCTCGTCCTGGAAGAGCATCGTCAACAGGGCGCCCAAGGAGGAAGAGTTTGAGAGTGCGCTCTCGGCCTCAGATGTCCTGCTGTATTTTGGCCACGGAGGCGGTGCCCAGTATATCCGTGGCAAGACCATCCGCCGCCTCGAGAAGTGCCGCCCCGCCACGTTCCTCATGGGATGTAGCTCGGCCGCGTTGACGGATGCGGGAGAGTTTGAGTGCTACGGCCCCGTGTGGAATTACCTTGTCGCCGGGTGCCCTGCCGTTGTCGGCACTCTCTGGGACGTCACGGACAGGGACATTGATCGGTTCGCCGGGCGCGCCTTTGAGGAATGGGGCCTGTTTAGCAAGGGGACGTTCAAGGAGGCTGACAAGGGGAAGGGCGTTGCCAAGGGTTCGGTAAAGATGGATGAAGAGGTCGGGACGCTCGTGTCTGGGGCGTCGCTTTCTGAGGCGGTGGCACGCGCGCGAGATGCCTGCCGGATGAGGTATCTCAACGCGGCAGCGGTGGTGATGTATGGGATCCCTGTATATATTGAGAGGGAGGCGGAAGAGGGTGCGTAAAGATACCAGGTTGCTTTTCTTTTTTTTATATCATCCTTCTCACGAACGGAACGAAGAGTACGCGCATGGCGAGCGGCGTTGGCTATTCATCCTTTGGCATAAGGTGTTATTATTTCTTGTTTATTGGGGGCTTTAGACTTTATAATGTTTGATGATAGAACAGATAATGTTTACTCCTTTTATAATATGATATATTCTAGAACTGATCGGTTATGGAGTGCAACTCTCTCATCTTCAGGTGAAGGAAATATGCTCCATGAGAGGGAATTTGATGACAAGGGGCTACAGCTCGAAAGAACCCGTGTAATTAACTCGCTCTGTAAAGAACCTAGTGTATTGGATGTATATGGTATCTGCAAATCCTCACTATCAAGACAAGTTTCCAGTTTTCCCCTTTTTCCATTTTTGCTCCTTTACGCCTCGGCGGTCTCGCCGTCTCCATTCTTCTTCCCCTTGGACCTCTTCCTCTTCTTTTTCGACTCGCCGACTTCCCCGACAATGTTGCTGCTCTCCTTCTTCGCCTCGGGGGCCACGAGCCGAGCCTCGCCGGCCGCTTCGGCCTCGGCGGCGAACTTCTCGAACCCGTAGGTGGGGCCCGACTGCTCAAACTCGCGGCCAAATGTGTCGCGGCGCCACTGCCTGAGGCGGGCCTTCTTGTTGAGCCTCTTGCGGTCGCGGCGCTTCTTCTCCTCGTCGCGGAAGGTGGCGAGCTTCTTAAGGCCGGCGAAGTCGTTGAGGGCGCTATCCGAGGGGGCGAGGAGAATGTCGCGGGCTGTCATGCCGAAGGACTGCGGTGACGTCTCGCGGTAGCGGAAGGGGGCGTGTGCCGCGGCGGCGGCGGGCTGGGAGAGGAGGTCGTGGTGGGTGAGCTCGAGCTTGGAGTCGACGAGGGCCTCGAGCTTGGTGCGGTCCTTGCGGGCTTGCTTCTGGGACTCGAGGCGCTCTCGTTTTTGCTCCTTGGCGCTCTTGCGCTTCTTGGCGGGGGGCTCGTCACCCTCCTCGTCGTCGTTGTTGTCATCTTCGGGTTCTTGACCTTCGCCATCGGAGAGTGTGATCTTTGGTTGGGCCTCTTCGTCGTCGAAGTCAGGCACTAGGTCCTTGATGTCGATGTCGTCGTCCCACTTGGGCTTCTTGGGGTGTTTTCGCTTCTTCTCCTCGGCTCCCTCCTCGTCAGAGGCCGGGGCTTCAGCATCGTCCATTGCGTAGTAGTCCTCGCCGAATCGCTTGCTCATCTCCTCTTCCCACTTGTCGTTCTCCCAGGCGTCGTCGAGGAACTTCATCCAGTCCTCGTCCTTGAGTTCTGCGCCGATGGCTCCAGCCGCTTGCCTGACCTTGCGGAGCTTCTGTTCCGTCTCTTCGAGTTTTAACTTGCGCAGGCGGGCTTTGTCCTCCCTCTTCTCCCGCTTCTCAGCCTCCTTTTGCTCCTTCTCGAGCTCTCGGCGACGAGCTCTGCCCGTCTTATCTTCACGGCGCACGGATCGCGCAGCTGTGATGTCTCGAGCATACGACTTGAGGACCTCGTTGCTCTTTTCGGGGTCTTCAAATCGCATGTTGTAGGCCTGCTCAAACTCGTCGGCCTTGTTCTCTTCCTCGTCGTCGTCGGATTCGAAGGCCTTCCATCTGGCCTCGCCATCGTCGCCAGGCAGCCATGCTCGGGCTGACAAGAAGTTTGACAGGAAAGTCTCCGGATCGCGGTCGGCACCCTCGACATCAAGGTCCTTGGCCTTCTGCTTCTTGACCTTTTTGGCTCTTGCTGGGTGGACGCCGCTATTATCCACCTTGGCTGGTTCCTTGCGCTTCATGAAATCGTCGCCGTCTGAATCAGAGCCTTCATTCTCGGCGTCGGCGTTGTGCATCTCCGATACAATGGACTTCTTCAGCTCATCCTGTTCCTGCGCAAAGGTTGCCGGGGCTGCCTCCTCATCGTCGTCGTCGGCGCCGACATCGCCACGCATGAACTTTTCACGGTGGTAATCCTTTAGGTAAACTGGCTTCTCTTTCTTTTCCTTCTTGGGGGCTGCGTTCGCATCTCCTTCCTTGTAGAACGTCACGTCCTTGTCGTAGACCCTGGGATCCTTGTTCTTAATGGCCTGTAGGGTGGCGGAGATTTGTGCGTCAAGGTCTTCGGTGGCGAGGAAGCCGTCTTCATCCTCACTTTCGTCTGTGGAGGATTCGTCATCTTCGTCGTTGGCGTTCTTACGGGAGGCGTCCTTCTTGTACTTTTCCTCCACTGTTGCATTGTTAGCTTGTCCAACAGCGATGTTGTAGCAACGTCCAACTTACATCGGTGCAGCTCCTCTCGCTTCTTGTTGTGTTCGAATCGGCGGGCGTATTCCTCGTTCACCTTGAACCCGCTCTCCTGGATCTGGGCACCTCCATCGTCGGAATCCGAGTCGCTGTCGTCGAGGAGTTTCCGCTTGGCTGGTGCAGAGGAACCCATGGCTGGTTGCGACAATTAGCCGGCCTTGGGAGACGTCTCTTGAGTGATGAATTTCCCCCTTTTGGCAAATGAGTGATCAGTTTAGGGCAAGGGCAATTGCAAAGAAAAGAAACAAAACGAGCTTTGCGAATGGGCGCCGATGGATCGCTCGTATGGGCTTGGTTAATCGTCAAATGCTACCAACTTTTTTTTCCGTCAACGCTTCAATCGCTGCCCACCATGATTTTAATGTGGGGCTTGCGGCGCAACCATGTGCTTTTCTGCCGGATTGAAAATTTTGGCGGTGAGAGCCCGGGCCAGGGTCAACCTTCCACCGGGCTGTAGCTGCGCCCCACCTGCCTCAGGTGGCTGTGCTCAGCCCAACCTTCATTTCGACATGATCAATGGGTGATGACGGGGTCCGGTGGCTGGTACTACTTTTAGCTCCAGGCCCGGCTCCAGTACCAGTACATGGCCAGCCATGGGAATCTGCCATCAATCCGAGTGATAGGTATTTAATAATGCCTATTTGACAGTAGGCAAGTCGTAGATGGTATCTCTTAGGCGATTTAGTAGCAACCAGTACCCTGATTGACCTGCTGCCGCTGGCTGGGGCTTCCACTTCCCGAAGACGCTGGAGCTCGTTGTCAGTCTACGTACGAGCCCTTCGTCATCGTCCCGAAGTACCTGGTGAGGTAACTACCACTGCCTGGCTTCCAGCAATATCCTCGCTCAACTTAACCTTCTGCCTCATCCATGCAGCAACAGGGCCCCATTTTCCTAGCCACCCAAACATCTTCGCCGTGATCTCCAGAGTATCCTGGTCTCTTTGCTTCCCTTCCTATCCGACCACAGCGCTCACCCGAACCACATCGACACGTCACTCGCTGCAAGGCACATCTTTCAGCTCTCGCCACTGTTGGCTCCAGATCTTGTCGCATCCCATCACATCCACCAATTGCTCTACATTCCTCAAACCGAGCGCCTCGAACCCCCACTCGCATCGCGGCCGTGTTGAAGTGATTTTTACGTTTTATTTCTCTCAAGCGACAAAAAAAGGCAGTCATGTCTGATTCCGCAAATGCCCCCAAGCCCAGCAGCAGCGTCAAGCTGGTTCTGCTAGGCGAAGCCGCTGTCGGAAAGGTGGGAATAATTTGTCCATTCTGCAGCATTCTCGGTCGGATATTGAACTAATCACGCTGTCTGCAGTCTTCTCTCGTACTGCGCTTTGTCAACAATGACTTTCAAGAAAACAAGGAACCCACTATCGGTGGTATGTAGCTTGCTGTTCCCATGCGTTGGTTAGCATGATGCTGCATGAAACGTCGCTGTTCTAACTCTTTGCTCCTGCGCAGCCGCCTTTTTGACTCAAAAGTGCAACCTCCCCTCGCGCACAATCAAGTTTGAGATCTGGGATACCGCAGGCCAAGAACGATTTGCTTCTCTCGCACCCATGTACTACCGCAACGCCCAAGCCGCCCTCGTCGTCTACGATCTTACCAAGCCCACCTCTCTCGTCAAGGCCAAGCACTGGGTCGCCGAGCTGCAACGACAGGCCTCGCCCGGGATCGTAATTGCTCTTGTCGGAAACAAGCTGGATTTGACGACTGAAGCTGCCCCGGCGGACGTTGATGGCACCGACGGTGATGACTCGGGAGACGCGCGCAAGATTTCGACAGAGGAGGCCAAGACATACGCCGAGGAGGAGAGCTTACTGTTCTTCGAGACCAGTGCTAAGACGGGACACAACGTTACCGAGGTATTTACAGCGATTGCCAATGCAATCCCCGAGACGTCCCTAAAGACCACGCGCGGAACCGGCGGTGCCAACGCAACAAGCCGAGCTGGTGATGAACAGAGGGTGAACTTGGGCGGGAACCGGGACGCTGGGGCTAAGGATTCATGTGCTTGTTAGAAGAAGGAATGGGCTTGTTTAATTTCTCTTTTTGTTTATACTGCGATGATATGGGTGTTTTGCGGATGGGAGGGCAAGGCTCTCCCCAGGGCTCTATGCGGGGGATCTTGTTTCCAGCAGAAGATTCAGTATTCCTTTTGTTTTTGAGCCTCCCACGGGGTGTGATTCCTTTCATTTCTCTTGTTTGGCCAGTCGTCTGTCTATCATAGCATTCATAATGCAAGTGTCACTTCGCTTGATACTCTAAGAGGCCGTATTTGGCTCCGCGCTTGCGATTACCCAGGTGCTAATGCGGCATCGACGTACCTATGAATGTTTTAGGAAGACAATTCGATGCATGATTTGAACCTAAATGATCCCGATACTTGCCTCTGGCTATTTTCGTAGAGCTTAAACTGCTGCCTCGAGCCCATCCACGTAAGTACCGTTGTCATGACGGCATCACACAGCGGTTCGTCACCAGGCATTCCCGAGAGGCCAGTCGAGAATTGCCAAGTGGTGCATGCAGGTGAGCCGGTGGATTTCTAGCCAATATGCGATAAAACGCATGGAAACGATCCAATGCTCGTCGGCAGCCATACTACATGTACCGCCTCTGCGTCAGAGGTGTGGCACGTGACCGCCCTGCTACAGCCACGAGCCAGCAAATCAACGGCGTTGGTCAGCTCTCAGTTTCTGGACTTTGTGGCGGCAGTTCCTTTGTCGAAGTGGGCGGCCCACTTATCTTTTTTGGCGGCGCGTCAACTGCAAACTCCTCATCATTCACATTCATTCATTCTACCTACATCCATGAATGCCGCCTTGCTCTCATGCGCTTTGCAAGGTCGTCCTCTCCTCTTGACAGTGGTGTCAAGGTCGCCGTTAAATATTCTATCACATCATCTCTAATTCCCTTCCCGCCGTGCCCATCTCCACCCGACATCTCTGGCGAAACGAGGACTCGAGCAGCATAGTTAGACAGCAACGGTTTCCACCACCCATGAAGTGCCCTCGCAGGACTTAGCGTTGTGCCGACGACATGGCTTCGTCCAACACCGAGGCCCAGGCCGAGCTCATCAGGTTCGCCATTGCTTCCCGCGTTCGAGAGAATCCCAAACCACAGACTAACACGAGTCCCAGCTCACTGGCACCCGATGATATCCCAATCAAGCTGCGATGCGCTATCTGCAGCAAGCTCGCCGTGAATGCCTTCCGGCTGCCGTGCTGCGAGCAGGCCATCTGCGAGACCTGTATGTTTTGCATCTGCCCTCTCCTCTTGAGCTCACCACGTTTGCTAACCGTTCTACCAGGCCAGTCCAACCTGCCCTCGTCATGCCCCGTCTGCGAGCACTCTCCACTGTCGGCCGAAGATTGCCATCCTAATAAATCACTCCGAACGACGATCAAGGTCTTTCTGCGCACAGCTGAGAAGAAACGGGAAGCTCAGCGTGCCAAGGAGGCAAAGGAATCCGCGCCCCCGACCCCGATTGAAGCTCCCAAGCCGCAGATACCCTCGTCAGAACAGGCTGCACCTGAGGCCAGCGCCGTCAAAGCTCCGAACGGAGAAGTGCAGCCTAGCGAGCAGCAGATCCCCGTGCCTAAGGAGGAGTCAGAAAATGCGCCAGCCCAACCAGCTGATTCGGTATGTCCTTACTATCTCTTCTCCAATGAAATTCACCGAGAATGGTTCACTGACTTGTCCTTTTTTACACAGACCGAACAGACTGCCGATCCCGAGACAGCTGAGCAAGCGAACAAGACCGACTCTGCCCTTGTCGCACAGACTGATGATGAGAGGCAAGGTCAGGAAAACGATGATCTCAATGATCAGGAAGCCACCCAAGAAGGCGAGGGCGAAGGCGAACAAGGAAACGGCGAAGAGCAGCAAAACTTCAACGCAGATGCGATGAATGGTGGATTCCCAAATATGAACTTTGGGCAAGGAGGAGGCGACTACAACCAGCAGATGCAGATGATGATGGCAATGCAAAATGGCATGGGGTCGAACTTCAATATGATGGGTACGTGTGAGCCCCAAGGTTCAGCTCCGTCTCCCGAGTTGCGGATGAGCAGTGCTAACATGACTTCGTTCTCACAGGCATGCCAGGAATGGGCATGGACCCCATGATGATGCAGAACATGTACATGAACGGTGGCTTTCAAGGCATGGGCATGAACGGCATGGGGGGCTTTGGAGGAGGGTATGGCCAAGGCACCAATAATAACTGGAACGGAACACAAGCGTGGAATTTCGACCAGAATAATTACAATCAAAATGTTCCTGGCATGGGAACCGGTGACTTTGGGAATTTTAACTCAGGATTCCAGACAGGATACAATCAAGGCAATTATGGTCATCAATTTAATGACTATCGCCGCAACAACTTTGGACGTGGTCGGGGTCGAGGTCGTGGCTTTTATGGCGGCGGTGGCTATGGCTACGGCCGTGGTGGTTTCCAACAGCAACAACAGCATGGCCATACGGGCTTCAACCAGCAGCTTCAGCAAGGCCAGCACATGCAGCAAGGGAACCAGAACCCCCAGGACCAGAATGAGGCTGGCGATAGTAATCCACAGGGCGACGAGTATGGCCGTGATGCTCGTCCCGAGGGCGCTAAGGAAGGCAGCGAAGGTGCTGCGGAGGGCTCTGGCCCAGGACAAGATCCCAATCAAAGTGGTGTGAGTTCTGAAGCCAGAAACCAGGATCCCAATGGACTAGCATCTCGTGAGGCTCCGGGCAGTGAAACGGCTGCTAGTGCAGCAGAGGATGCTGCTCCATCCAGTGGCCCTGGTGCGGTAAATCGTCCTGTGCAGCCTGTCCCTGAGGTGCCGATCAACGCGCCAACAGGTCCCAAGGCAATGCGTCAAGGTCTGCCTAATACCAGCCTCCATAACTTGCGGGCGCGTGGCTACCAGGTAGACAACCCTCCGCGGCCCTCGTCCTCGCATCAGCAGCAGGCAAGTCCCGCTCCCGAGCGACCCCGTTCGAGAAGTAGATCTCCTCAGCGTGACCGCGAGCGTGAGAATGACCGGGATCGTGACCGTGACCTTGACCGTGAGCGCAGCAAAGAGCGGTCTAATGGATATGACAGACGCGACAGGGACGATGAAGACGCAGAGCAGGACCGCGGTCGCGGCCGTGAACAGCGTGAGCACTCGCCCTCTGACACTGTCTCAGGTAGTAAGAGCCGCAGCCGAAGTCACGGCCACAAAAGCTCACGGCGCCGGCGACGCCATCGCTCCACTTCGGCCGACGATGAGTATGACAACGACGGGTACCGCCGCAAGAAGCATCGGAGCAGCCGCAAGTATGACGACGAGGCCGAGCACAACTCGTCCTCGAGACCCAAGGAAGAGAAGCCCTCGGAGCGATCTCGGTCGGCATCGCCTGACGACTCTAAACGGTCCGGCGGCCACAGAGGTAGTCGTAGAGACAGAGACCATGACAAACGGAGAGAAAGGGAGAAGGATAAGTATCGCGACGATGACAGAAAGAAGTCGTCTAGCCACCGATCCCACCGTGACCGAGACTATGATCACTCACGACGGAGGGACAAGGACAGAGAGAGAGAAAGAGACCGAGACAGAGCTCGGGATAAAGACAACCGGAAAGACCGCAAGGAGCGAGAACGGACTAGAGACCGTGACAGCGACCGCGATCACCGGCAGAGCAACAGTGGCGCCGCCAGCAGGAAAGGCTCAACGGACGTATCGACGCCGGTCGACAAAGAAACGAGACCTGGCGGCCCACGGGGCTTCGACATCCGTGGCAGGGGCGATAATCCCTCTCGTCAGAACTCACAAGCTTCTGCCAGCGGCGGTGGCAAACCGATGCCTGTCAAGGACGTCCACACCTTGGAGCGAGAGGCTCGAGACCGAGAACGACTGCTCAAGGAAGCCCAGCGGATTACTCGCCTAGCTGGACTTGCAGGTTCGAAGCGCGGCCGTGAGGATGATGGCGGCGACAGCGGTGGTCGCAAGAGCGGCAGGGCCAGCCGACGCAGCGAGGCGGTTGACGGCGGTGACGGAGAGGAGCGCATGAGACGGCTGGAGGCTGAGCGCGAAGGGGGTCGCTGGGGCTAAATACCTTCTTCCTTCCTTGTTTTCCTCTCTGCATCACGTTGCATAACGCATTGTTTGCTTTTCAGTGTTGGGCATCGGTTGTCTTTTGAATTTGAACAGCTCTGAGAGTAGAGATCATCTTCAGTCTACTCCTTCACTCTTATACACTCTCCATTCTTTTTATGCATAACGCTCCTCCCCAGATATTGGAGGAGCCTTCCGGCCTAGTTGCCTGCCTTCTTTTCTTTCTCCTACTTTGTTTTGTATTTATACTGTCCGGCTGGAAGGGAAATTGGGAAAAACCATTGGCGGTCATAGTGGGATAACACTTTTTTTTTTCATTCTGCATCAATGGTGTTGTCTTTGGAAAGCACAGAAAAAAAGGGAACGAGAATCGGGGAAGGGGGGGGGAGAATCACCACCAAAGAACTTGGAACAGCGAGAGGCAAGTATCCCTCATCACAAAGGAAACCGGCGTGGCAAGATTGAGAGACGCAATGGGGCTCCAGTTCAGGATGAGGAGAGCGAAAAAGATATATATGGCCTGAAGTATGAGGCCGGCCTGGATAATCCAGGGAAAGAACATCACGGGGCAGCCTGAGGTCGGGGAATATCAGGAAGATATCTCCCGTATTTCATCTACCAGAGACCTGGAACCGGCACAAGGAAAGCCAGGTTATGCCCATGGGGTAGAGAGGTTACACATGCCCTCTATCTCACTTAAAATATACCCCGTTATATGCAAAGTTGTCCCGCTTGTCTAGTTCCCGTGATGGATTGACCAGTTCATAGTAAGACAATTCGTCCTTCGGTTGCTGTTTTCCGAACCCTTTTCCCTGCCCCCGATGGAAGGCGAGGATAAACAAATCAACTGCCTTAATTGTTCCTTAGTTCACGTCCATAAGCCAATTCAAATAAAATAAATCTCTATTCATCCAATAATCCTTACATTACTACTATAATCTCTAGAATATCGTGGCCACCTTACATGACATGATGTCAACCACCACCAACACCAACACCCCCAACCGCGTCTGCAGCATCGCCTTCCTCAAGAAGAACCCCTCCCTCACCCACGACGAGTTCTACCACCACTGGTCCCAGGTCCACGGACCCCTCGTCAAGCCGTGGATGGAGAAGCACGGCATCACGGGGTACACGCAGGTAAACGCCACGCCGCAGCTCAACGACGCCGCCGCCGCAACACCGCTGGGCCCGGAGAAAAAGAGAGACAAGGGGAAGGGGGGGGAGGATCCGCTGGGTGGGTTCGACGGCGCGGCGGTGATTGAGGCTCCGAGCTGGGATGTGCTGGAGGGGGCGTTTGCGGACGAGTACTATCGGGATGTGATCGCCAAGGACGAGGAGCGGTTTCTGGATCGGGGAGCTGGGGTTTTGAGGAAGAGGGGGCTGGTGAATAGGGTTATTTGAGGATGGGCGTGGTCAGTCGTCTATCTTGTTTGATACAACAGCAAGATGCAGCACAGGTTAGCATGTCATTGCCAGATTAATGAGAAAGGGGACAATGTGATTGTAGATGGATAGATTCGAGTCCCCAAGTGCCAGAAGCCTAAGCAGTAACACTAAAAACAAAGCCTGGACGACCCGCTCTCTTCCGCCATTCGATTCTCAAAGTGAGATCCTTCTAGCGGTTCCCTCCCCCTTTTAACGCCTTCTCTGATGCTTAGATCCAACCAATGCGTATCGTCTCAAGTTCCCAACACGAGGGTATATATGTTTCTTCTTTCTGCCTGTCTTTATTGTTTTTCTCGTTTCCATTGAGGCCCCAGATGCCCGCAGGACGTATATATGTTATCTCATTTAAGCCCGGCCTAGTATATTCCCTGAGTGCGATACTGGAAAGTGTCATATCTGCGTCGCGGTTAGTTCCCAAACATACGCATCAAAATAGGATAGGGGGCACGAACAATCGTGTGTAGTAACTACCAAAGGACTTAGCGATCAAATCCGTTTCGACGAAATTCTCCGCCTCGTCGGCGCTGAGGTGCAGCTGGAAACGCTGCCGTAATGCGTTTGTGGTCTGCAGGACGCCGGCGTTGAAGCAGGGCATTTTTGAGTCCCGGCCCATGATGGCAACGAGATCGATAATATTGTCTGCGGATCGTCGCAAAGCTGGTTCACGGTACTGTTAGAATTTTGCCGCCGGGGTACGTTTGCAGTGCTAGGCTAAAAAGGAACAACATACCTTGGAATGCTTGCTTGCAAAGCTTCTTGTAATCGTCATAATCCTGAGATCCCAAACCACCCAAAACATCAACATACTCGTGAGTCAGCTTGAAAGGAGCCGCCTCAAAACCAACTGAACCAGGAGAATTGGAGAGCATGAAACCAAAGTCGATGTGGACGATATGGCCTTCGTTGTCGATCAACACGTTGCCGTTGTGTCGGTCCTTGAGCTGGAAGACATAAGAGAAGATGGAGTAGGCAGCCAAAGACCGCTTAAACGCCTCCACGCCAGCTCTGTGCGGCTCGCTCTCCGTCGGGCCAAAAGCTTTGACGAAGTGGTCCTTCAAGGTGGCGATGCGGTGGCGGGGGTTCTGGCCAGACTCGATAGACGCAAGGGTGAGAGACCGCTTCAACGAGTGCAGGGAGACACCGCTGGTGATGGTCTCAACCAAACCGGACGACTCTCCCGTGACCAAAATGCGCATGAGTTTAATCCACACGTCGGACTCGGCATCGACCCAGATCTTGTGGCATACGTTGATCAGCTGGCAAGCGAACGCCTCCTGTCGCAGATCAGCACCCGTCTTGACAATCACACTGACAAGATCCCAGTTCTTCATCCAGCCGTACGGGGACGCCTTGCGAATGCGCTCCTTCTTCGCCTCCCATGCTTCACCAAAGACAGCCGCACTGGGGTCATCGCGGTCGCCGCGGCGCTGGACACCACCAGTCTTGATGTCGTTCTCCATCCGCTCCCGACCGGCACTGGCGTTCAGATTCGTGTCGATGGTGCTGCCCTCTTCCAAATCAGGATTGTCAACTGGCGAGTTCAAGGCTGAATTCTTGGCAATGATGGTGTCGAAAGTAGGCCCCTCGTCCATTTCAAAACTCTGCTCCTCCAGGCTCTGCATGCTCGCAATAATCTTGGCTCGGATCGCGGCCACCTCGTGCTTGGGCCGCTTCCCGCTCGTAGCCTCAAGCTGGGCCAACATCTGCGACGCCGTTCGCATGTGTGTGGCCAGAGCCGAGAAATCTGGCTGGTCGGCTGCCACAGTGCGAGGTGGTGGCTGATTCAGCGTCATCTTGCGGGAATGCCCAGGACTGTTCGATCTGGTCGACGAATGGCCCGAATTCCTGGGGGTGAGCGGCTCCAAATTCGTAGATGCCATGGCGGCAGCGCTGGGGATTCGCAACTGGCTGGGCTGCGGTTTACCATATTTGGGAGGCGGGGGCACCGGCTCCTCTACGTAAGACTTGATGTAGCCTGAGCTCCCCAGATCGCCAGAGGTTGGTTCGAACACGCTGTCGAGAACTGGCTGCTCCGGAGGCGGGGCAACCTGAGCAGTTATTCTGGGGGAATCCGAGGTCAGGTCAAACAGTCGCTTGTTGTTCGTCTCCGGGTTGAGCAGTTTCGTGAGCAACCTCTGGTTGTCTGCAGTATCGGGGTTGAAAGTGAAGTCATCCCTGAGCACCTCAGCCATCATGAGATACGGCACCTTCTCAGCACTGTTGAGCACAGTCGACTCAGCAGGGTTCAGGCGCACGATTCTATGGTGACAGCTCTTCCCTGGGGAGCCATTCACCAACGTAGGCGGGCAAATCACAGGAATGTCCACCTCGGCCGGTAGGTCCTGGGAGATGAGGGCGAGCTCGGCTCGCAAGGCGCTCAGGCGGGCCTGTTTAGGCACGGCGACCAACCGGTTCGAAATGCCCTCCAAGGCAGTGAGGAACGCCGTCTGCGACCTAAAATAATGTTGCCTCAGGAGCCTCACCTTTTGCTCGGATGACAAATCGCTCGAGGTAAGGGGAGGTTTGGTCTGGTGCGAGTGTCTGCGGCGGATGCTGTCCCCTGGGCGCTGTGTCAAGTCCTTGGTCACTGGAGTCACGGGTCGGCTGGCAACAGTTTTGGTCGAGGGGAGAGGGAGCGAAGAGGAGCTCAGCTTGGCCTCCAGGGACTTCATCTCCATTGCCGAAGCCCGCTCTGTGGTGGGTTTGGCTTCCCGATTCGCCTTGGATTTGGGACTCGTGTGGGAGTGGTTCGCTTTCGATCTCGGTGCACCCTCGTCTGGCGCGCTCGTCGTCCTGTTGGGATCCTTAGTACGTCGAGACAGTGAGCTCGTGGGCGTGACCGTGTGGGCCCTCGTCGGCTTAACATTGGCCTGCTCCTTCTCCTTCGTCTCGAGGTCGAGATCATTGTCGGCCGGCTGAGGTTTTCGAGCCTGTGCCACGGCCAGAGGACCAGCCCATTGCGGCAGCATTGGCAGGGCGACGCTGGCGAGGACGAAGCTGGAGAGAACGGTAACGGGAAGGACATTTTCCTTGATTCGGTCATGTCGCGCGGTATCAGCCAGGCCAAAAACGATATGCTGGACCTTGTTGTACACTCGTCGACAGATCTGGAAGGAGCTCGATTGCGGGTTCGAGGAGAGGTCGTGTAAATAGGTCTGAAACAGCCAGAAAGTCTGCGTCCATAGAAAAAATGGTCACCTCAAGTTAGATTTGTCCTCGGCGTTTATAGCTCATTGTTTCGCGGGGGGGGATTGGCAAGCACAGCATCTGCTTGCGAACAGAGGAAAGTGGTCGGACAAGAACGCACCAGAAGCGCAGCTGTTACTGACTCTTCGCACAGGTCCAGCAGGAACTCCTCCAAGGCCATTGACTCATTGTCAACGCTTATTATAAGATGGCAGAGCTGTGGAAGGAAGAATTCGATGTCCTCGTAGGGGAACTGTCGCAGCTTGTTGCAGAGGACATAGTGAATGCCCACATGGTCGGCATAGCGGCTACGGGCAAGGAGTTCCCAATTAGCGACCTTGGCAGTTCACGGGGATTGCGATGCAGCAGCCCAGGCGGTGCGACGGGCGGCGGCCTGAGCATGGAGCGAGGCGGTCGGAGCTGGAAGAGAGGGACTCACGAAAGATAGGAGACGGGGAGGAAGGGATTCGAATTGAAGACGTCGGATTCGATGAATCGTTGCAGCAAGTCCCACGACATTGGGCTACCTGTGCGCGCCGAAGCGGGAGGACGGTTGACGGGGGGGCGGGAAGAAGAGACGGGGTCGGAGGCAAGACGAGGATCGATATTCAAGGTCTGGGTTGGTGGTGACGGCGACGGCGGAGGCGGTAGTAGTCCGTCATCTAGGAGGTCGGGTGGGATAGTGGAGCAACGGGAATCAGATGGAACATGGCGACGAGGAACGGCTGGGGAGGAGGGGTCGAGTCGAGGCCAACTAGACGCAGCGGGAGAATTGGGACGGGCCTGGCCAGATGAGCCGCCGTGGAGGTGCAGACGGTCGATAGGGGCGGGATATCGCTGGTGGGTGAGAGATGTGTTCAGATGAAATGGGTTTTCATTTTAGGTTGCTGCCGCTACTACTCCGTCGATTCGTAATTTGCCTGCATTACCAGACGGTGAGCGAACAGCAACAGCTCGTGGCTCTGAACCATCAGGGACCGTCCAAGGGGTCCTACAGCGGCAACTCCTCTGAGAGGCCGTTAAGCTTCAGGAGGACCCCAGAGGCTAGAGCGACGGAACGTGCTGCTAGGCGCTGCTCAGCTGCTACAGCCAGCTGGCGGCCCTTATTTTTAGGCGGTCCAGTCCCCACCACACCTGCTCCACAGGGTCCACGGGATTCACTCGGGATATTTCATTAGAGGACGAGCGAACCATTGAGGTCCCAACGATGCCGCTGGGAAAATGCCAGTCCCAATCTCCCATCCATACCAATTTTGACGCCAAGAAGAGGCGGTGCGTGGCGGCCCTTTTTTCTCTCTTTCCCTGGGAGAAAAGGAGTTGAGGGGAGATGGATCATTGGGGAGAAGGTTCTTGATGAGCTTGGCTGTAAGAGGACTCATCAAATGACTGCCCCTTGGTGCGTCATCGTTGTTTTCTCTTTTTATATCACGTCACGTACGAAAATGCTACTTCAACATCGTGGCCAGTTCATTACATTGCGCAAGGGTCCATCCTCTTTTTTTTTCTCGTCTCGCCGGGATCGCCAGCCAACTTAGGCAAGTGGATGCTACTGATGATGAGGGACAGGTGAGAGTCAGTATAAACTTGGAAGTCAAGACCACCGCAATGGCATCACTTTTTAGAATGGTTTAGGAACCAACACAAAAATATGAGGAGTAAAGCACCGCATGTAGCAGCGTTGATATATTCCGGGCAAGGCTTTCCCGCTTGCCCAGCATCTTCGGCCCGGAAGCCTCCTAGAACCACCAGCGGTCCATCTACAATGCAATTCCAAGATGGCCATCTTCGCACCAGAATGTCCAACCTCCCTGATCAAATGGGGAAAGTCCAGATACAGGGACAAATGACCAGCCAGAACGCCACAACAATGCTGCTAATATATGTGTATATGAGAAAAAATCCCTTCAATTCATTGCACAACGCCGTGATGTCGACTCCATGTGCTGGTTTCCGTCGAATAATCAGCCCTTGCCGCCTCTAATCCACACCATGCGCCCTGCAGAAACATGAAATATTGTAAAAGAAAAAAAACAGGCCCATATCCCTTCCTTCTGCCATCTCCAACTTAGACTGACCCCTTCTTCTTGCGACCGCCCCGACCTTTCTTCTTGGGCTCGTACGCGTCCTCGTCGCTCTCGCTCTCGCCCTTGGTCTGCTTGGGCTTGCCCTCCTTCTCGTTCTCCACCTTGCCGACGATCTCGCGGAGGAAGTCCCACTGGTCGTCCCTCTCCACGACCTGCTTGAGCATGGACGCCGTGACGCGCTTGGAGCCCTTGTCCTTGGCGATGTCGGCGCTCGTGCTGACGAGCTGGACCATGAAGAGCTCGAGGGCCTTGCCGACGGCGATGGGGGTCTGCTGCGCGACCTTGCCCACCTCCTCGTCGGCCTGCATGATCCGCTTTATTCTGGCCGTGGGGAACTTTGTCCGCACAGGGGACGGCTCGATGATGGGTTCTTCGATGACGGCCGCGGCCGCTGCTGCCCTGCGTGGAGGCATCTGTGTCTGGAGGTGCAGTGCCTGCTGCGGAGGGGCGCCCACGGGTACAGCGGTAGCGTGCGGGAGGTGGTGAAGCTCGGCTGTCACGGGAGGGCGGTTTGGCTGCTCTGGGTGGTGCGGCTGCGCATACAATGGCGTCGGCTCAAAGCTTCGAGGCTGATGCTGATGCCCGTATGCACCTATGTGATTGGGGTAGGAGGTTGGCGGGAGCTGCTGCGGGAGCTGCGAGAACTGGCGTTGCTGCTGAGGCGGCTGCTGCAGGTGCTGGGGTTGGGGGCGGTGGTGCGCCGGAATGTAGGCGATATTCTCTGTGTAATTCGGATGTGCAGAGGGGGAGACAACGGCTGTGGGAGGTGGCACGTAGGCCGAGTTGACGCTGTAGGCGTGCGGCTGGGGTTGGGGATAGTAGGACGGCTGGTGGTGGTGTTGGTGGTGGTTTTGGTTGTGATGGGCCTGATGAAAGTTTTGGCTCTGGCTGAGTGAGAACGGCGGCGGGGCGGGGGGCTGGTCCGTGGGGGCTGCCGAGAAGAGCGCTGAGAGATCCGGCGACTTTGGTGCGTAGGAAGAGGATTCGTCCGCCGACATGGTCCTGAGACGCAGCGCTGGCCTGGCTTCTTATCCTCCTACCGGGCGGCTAATCAGATCAAGGCCGATACCTAGCACAATAAAAAAAATGATTTTAAAAAATAAACCACCAATAAAGAGGGGCTGGGGCGCGTTTCCACACGCGGTTAATCAGCCCAAAAGGTCACCTTGGCTTGGCTGGGGGGCCTTGATGCCAGGAATTGACGCTCAAGGGGCCACTCCAGACCGTGCCACAGCAGATTCAGTACAATGCAGAGGCAACCCGTGCTGCTTCTCTTCTCAGCCTTTCGTTCTCTTGCTGCTGGCGGGGGCTGGTCAAGGGATGGCCGGTACGAGCTCCCAGGATTGGTGGAGCCCGGTGGTTGAGCAAGGGGGATGGATTGATGTGATGATATCCACCTGGCAGACAAACAAAGCAGCTAGGGGCCACTTTTTCTTCTTCTCGACTTCTTTCCCTGCTTCTGGAACAGATCGGACGGTGCGCCGTGACGTGCAGAAGCCACAGGAGAACAGGCAGATGCAGCTTGGTGCTCACAGAGATGGTGTGGTCCGACAACGCGTGGTGGCAGACAGGGCAAGGATGGGTATAGTAATTGTAGTAGTCTGGTAGGATAGGGAGGTGCAGGAGTGGAAGGCGTAGTCTCTACTAATACTCGGCGTGGTTTCGTCCTGGATGTTCTGGTCCGGAGTGAATGCTGAGGAGGTGCAGGCAATGGCAACCACCAAACACGGCACATGCGCCCAATGCCACTTCACCAGAGATGGAAATGGGCGGTGAATGTGGATGATGTGAATGCAGGTGGTGAGGGGCAGCGCGCTTGTTCTACCTGACTCACTGCAACAAGGGCACTCTACTCTGGGTACAGACTGAAACGTAGGTACATGCAGATAGGTGCCTTGCAACGGCGAGAGAGAGATGTCCTGGGACTCGAGTACTGTATGTAGGCACTACCGTAGGTATGCTCGATGAAATAGATCAAGGTACCAGACCAAGTCTTGCACAGGACAGGTCGCACCTGTATCAGGAGGCAGACGCGGAGCACAACGCGTTGCCTGGTATGCTCTTCTTTGAGCTGATCTCAATCTCAATACACTGACTCTTCAGACCAACCGGTTCTTCTGTCCTTCCTCCCGTGCCGTGTGACTAGCTCGCAAATGCAATCAATCAATCAACGGATAGATGATGCAAGCACCGAACAAGGGCGTGTGCCAAGCTTTCTTCGATGCTGAGCACAGACCAGGCCACAGACGCCGGGCGAATGGCAGCAGAGATACGCGGTATGGCAGGCTGGTTCACTCAACACCAAGCGACCAGTCACAGCGAGGTTGCCTGCTACTCTCGTGTGTTCTTCCTCGCTAGGGGAGGGGAGGGGTATAACAGACTCGGGAGCGTAAAAAAAAGACCAGCAGAGAGCAAGGGCTGGCTGCCGATTGGACGGGGGGAGGCTGAGTAATGGGGGCCTGTCGATGGGAGAACAATGACGACGACGAGCTTCGACTAGGGAGCTTTCCCCTCAGCGACGGCCGACCAAAGCGGGTGGGATGACGGGACGTTTATATGCGCGGCCAGTTGCTAGCGGTCGTCAATCGCCAGGGACCCAATAAGCTGCCGCGACGATTTGCCTCCCACCTCGGAGACGCGACCTGTCCCGATCGGGCAGGGGGGTCTGTCCATCAACGACCAGCGGCACGCGTTTGGCCTTGACCTGCTCTGGGAGTGGTCTGTATGGGCGGACGAGGTAGCATGTAATCTGCACAGGCTGCCGTTGCAGATGGGGCGTGTTGGAGAGGCTGAACGGAAGGCAGCAAACAGGCAGCCAGCCGGTGATACACTCTGGCAGACGCCGGCACGCACACATCCTACACTGCCCACAGTACCGTACCTAGAGCTGAGCTGCATGCCTGAGGTGGCAGCTCATCAGCCCAGCCAGCCATTGGCCACAGATGATGGGAGGTTCTTCGCTTCGGTGCCCACCTGCAGCAGCGCATGGCCGCCTCGCCCGATTCATGCCGTCGAGTTCTATTGCGGCTCGAGGCTTAACGATATTACTTGAGAGCTGACGTGGATTAGCTAATGCAGCCAATCGGCCTTGAATCAGGGCTTGCATCCATCTGCACGTCTCTTGCCTCAAGCGTCGCCATCCATAAAGTTCACGACTGTGCCTAAAATTAAACGGGCAATGATGACTCATCAGCATCTCTCTCGTACACGCCCCCTCCCAAAGCTACCTCAAGGCGAAATTGAGAACATTTCTGGAACACCTGGATCAATGCTAAAGAGTCTTCTCCTTCACCTCACTTCCCTTCCCTTCCTTTCCCTTGCCGCTGGCAACGCACCCACGCTGCCGCCCCAGCCATCGCTCACTGCCAGTTTATCGATACTCACTCGTGTGCGCCCTTTGAAATGTTTCATTAAACCACCTGCCGTCTGATTTGATGTTTGCTTCTGCCAGCAGGGTCAAAAGGCTACGTGTTGCGCCGCCGTCAAACGTTGGCGTGCTCCTTCAAGCTTCAGGTCGGCAGGCATCAGCGACACTAGACTCAAGCAAGGCGACGACAATATTGTTCGCTGACCCCTGAAAGGTACCGTCATTTGCCTTTGCGTGCTTTTTCTTGCCCTCCTCTCTCCCTGATGATAGAAATTCAATGAGCTTTATAAACTTGGAGTTGGCCTGGGCGGAGCGATGAGAACCGAGCTCTGGTGCGTACACCATCTAGGGGTCTCATCGCACCGCTCGCAAAGGGCTATTCAATGACTAAATTTTGAAACTTGATCTAATCTGACTTGTCCCCCATATCCTGCCCCTCAACCTTGCCCGACATCCGCTGCTTCACCTCTCTAACAAGCGTCTGCAGGCCCGCCAACCTCCTCTCCGTGTAGCTTGACAGGAACAAGGACACCACAGGCCATGCGTGGATGCCCGCCGGGATGTTGAGGCTCCCAATCTCGACGCCCATCTTGGTTTGCTGCCTGACAAAGTCCTCAATGTTCGGCGCAAACACTTCATCCTCCCCGTAGATGACGTAGTAGCCCCCTCCCGGGCTTGCCGCCCTCCAAACGTCTCCGTCCACGCACGACCCCGGGGACGCGGGGTGCTGGTGAATCATCGCTTCGCCCGCGTACTCGTGGGCGTACTTCCACAGCGACTCCCGGTTGAGGAAGTCTGTCGGTGACGGACTGTGCAGGTGAGTCATGAGTGTCACCCAGGGTGAAATGAGCGTAGCCAGTCGCGGGAGGGGCAGTGTCGTAGTAGACTCATGGAGCAGTCGTGGCCCATTAGACGGCGGTGTTCCTGCAGTAGCATCCTCATTCTTGCCACGCTGCGCGCCAAGTTCCTGCAGGAGGCTCAAGACCAACGCTCCGCCTGCGGAGTCCCCGGCCACGCACACCATGGAGGGGTCGCCGGCCGTCTTCAGGACCAGCTTGTAGCCCGAGGTTACCTCATTGAGCTGCCTAGGATAAACATCATCCGGGACCAAAGTGTAGTCGAGGGCGAAGATCGCCGGGTTCCGGTACCCCCCCTCAACGAGCAGATGGTGCCAGGCGAGGAGGAATTCAAGGTAGAACGCAGCTGATCCAAGAGAAAACCCACCCCCTAGCCATATGTCAGTCTGATCCTTAGAAGGAAGTGCACTCTGCCATACCATGAATGTAGTAGAGGACGAAATCGGGAGGATGCTCTGGCCGATGTTTGATCCACAGGCCGCTGAAGCTCTCATTTCCCTTTGCAGCTCGTCAGCCTTCTACCGCTACACCACCATTCAATTTTACCATGCATGAGAAGGGAGGTTGGAGGGGAGTTAAACTTCAAACTCACATGTCCATACCGCTCCTCCTTCCAGTACACCGGGCTCCTGACGTACCCGTGCCTCAGCATGCGCCAGCGCAGGAAGGGCAGGGCGACCCATTTGTCGAAGAAGACGCGGCTGACGCTCGAGGGGATGGACTGGAAGGCGTAGCGTACGCACCGCACCACGAGGTCCTCGAAGAGCGTGGCCGTCTGCACGAACCCCGGCTTCAAGGACGTGGGCGTGTAGTAGCGCTCCTGGATCAGCTGCACGGGGAGCTGGAAGACTGTGCTCGGGACGTACATAGGTCAGTATCGATACGAACAGGTAGAAGAGAGACGTTTGGACTTACTCAGGAAGGGGAGCGCCTTGACGGCCACGTGGACGGTTTGGAAGAGGCCTACTTGGATGAGGAGCTGGGGTGCCAGGAAGATGAGGAAGACGAGGCAGTCTAGGAGAGTGACGGGGCCGAGGATCATGATGTGCCTTTGGGGGTATGAATTGATGCCGGGGGAGGAGAAACAACGAAAATCAAACGCCGAATCCCAGCACGCCTGCGAGCTCACGACCAGTCTATGAAGCCACCAATTTATTTCCGGGCAGTTCGGTATCTATGACGAGAAACATCACGTATGTGGGAAAGATGGAATCCTAGGATTGACATCGAGAGACGTTTCGGAGGGCTGGGCCGGCGTCTACCAGGGAGGCTAGTCGCTTCAATTCAGCTTGGCCATCGTCAGTCGGACTTGAGCTGCGCCTTGTGCCTTCAATTGTTGGGGCAGTGGCTGAGTGGTGACGAATGGTGAAGGGCTGGACCTACCCTGGAGCAGTCATCCGTAAATTACGGTTCTTCGTAGAATACCAACAAAGTACTTCACAGGTGTGTATTGTGTTGCATATGAGCAAGGTTTCTTTTTTATAGAGTTTTTTCTTGGCAGAAAATTGCAGTTTTGGATGAGTTAACCGAGTAATTTTCCCCAGCTACAGGCGTCGATGATCTAACAAATGAACGGTTACATGGCGCCACCGTGTCGCCAAGTGCCGCCGAACGAGGGGCAGACAGTCATACGGCGTGAATAATGCATGCTGGAGTTCGTATTTTTTCCTTCCCCCAAGACGGCAGGTAAATACAAAATCAATTGAGCAAGCCAAAATAAATGCATTTGAAGTACTCTACCAACTAGACCTGCTCAAAGAACTCGCCACAGCAAAAGAACCTCTACATTTCACCGGTTTCTCTCACCGATAGTCAACCGGGTATAGCCAACCCCTCATCTATTGACAATGACTAGGGACCTGCCAACCAAAGAGGATCTGTTCGCGGAGAACTCTCCCTTCCCCCTAACGGATCTGGACAAATGGATTCTGGCACAGAAGGATGAAGAGTTCAAGAAGCACGATTGGGAGGGGTTGAGGAAGATTATCGGTGAGCACTCGGTCTTTTCTTCTAAATGTTTCATGGCACATGGCAACAGCATTATATTAATATCCTTTTCTCTTCTCTTTCTGGAACAGATGCCAACGACCTGGCTGCCTTCAAGCGCACCCCCTCGGACTTGCGCCGCTACATGTTCTGGACCAGAGACATCAAGGCCGGGTACGGATCCATGACCGCGTACATCCTCGCCAACCGACTGCCCAAGACCTGGGGCTCGGCTCCCTTCACGCCCACCTCCGCAGTGCCGTTTGCCGACCCCTCCGACTACAAGGTTCTGCTCAACGACTGGCCGTATGCCCTGGAGCCCGGCATCACGCACCTTGTCGTCTGGTCGCGCACCCCCATTCCGGTTGATAGCGACAAGGGCGACCTGACACCAGAAAGCAGAGCCCTGATCCAGGGATTTGTGCAGAAGCACTTTGTCGAAGCCCTGGGAGCCGGTGGCAAGGATCAGGTGCTGTGGTTCAAGAACTGGGTGTCGCTGCAGAGCGTGCGAGCGCTGGAGCATTTCCACATCCTTGTCCGTGATGTTGACGATGATACTCTGGAGAAGTGGACAGGAGAGCGACCACGCCGCGAAACCCAGGAGTGAACTATCCCTCCATCACTTAGAAATAGAGCCCCTACTCTCAGAATAAAGCTAGATGAAGAAGAAATAGAATGGACGCTTTTCCATTTCTTAAGCAGCTCGTCGGGACCTGCGGTTGCCCTGCGGCGGCGCGGGCGCACCTTGGTCCGCCCCGAGTCCCTGCATCTGAGCCATCTTCTGGCGTCCCATCCCGAACAGCCCAGCGCCGAGGTAGAGGCCGTAGGCGGGCACGACAGCCCACAGGAGCCAGCCCCAGTTGCCGAAGAGCACGACGGCCACGAGGGAGGCCCACGTGACCCAGACGACGTCGAACATGTACTCCGTCAGGCCCTGGGCGGAGAGGTCCTCGCCCGAGGCCTTGAGGGCCTTGGTGTTGGGGTCATAGCGGGGCCTGCCGGACGTCTCGAGGACGTACTGGCAGATGAAGCTCGGGGCCGAGAGCAGGGCGTAGGCCAGGAGGGAGCGGGAGCGGAGGAGGAAGTGGGAGAGGAGGAAGATGGCGTGGACGATGGCGGCGCCGATGTGGAGGTTGTTCAGGGCGGCCGCGTTGGACTTTGCGAGCTCCTTCTTTGCCTTTTGCGCCATTGTGGGTGGAGGGGAGTCCAATTGATGCTTTTACGAGGGGGGGCGGGATGGTGCGATGCGATGCGATGCGATGGATGAGAGTGGAGGAGGAGTGAGGTCATGAAATATGTTATTTCACTGATATCGGGGTAGAATATTGGTGGGGCAGGTGTTTTTCAGGGACCTGCATTCAATCAACGTGTGCGCTTGACAGCCTGAGGTGTTACGAGAACCGCACAATTGGCGCCAGGTGCTTAGCAGTTGTCTTCACTGTTAATTAGGTGGGCATCGGCAGAGGCACAGCGCACTCTACGGGGCTACGGGGTGGCGGGAATGAATAATCGACGCAGCCCAAAAAAGGAAGAAAAAGTCGCCCACTGCTGCTCTGTTGCTGGGGAGAGCCAGTGGGTTCCCTCTTCAGCCAATCAGACACTCGACCAGCCAGCCATCTGGACATGTCACAACAATGATGAGATGCATGCGCGCGCTTGGCTTGCGTCCCAGCCACACTGCAATCCAGATCAAAGACAGTCGTTATTGATTTTCGTTGGCTTTCTTTGCCATCGACAAGTGCGTGCAGCGCGTGGTGCCGTTGTCCTGTCACGTCTCGTTTCTTCAAGCCTTTGCTGTGTGTGCTGGAGTAAACAGAGCCCGTGCCGTTGCTCACTGTGTTTTTAGTGGCTCGGTGCCTGGAATCGACACCTGCAGCGCCTGGCGCCACCTGGACTCGCCCGCAAACACCTTCTGTGTACAGGGACTTGGGGACCCACATCGATCTTGTTGTGCTGGATTCACGATTGCCCGTCCATCACATCACCAACCTCACGTTCTCCTTCGAACGGCCAGGACCCGTCTCTGTCCTCGTCACGACCCTGCCCTGCATCAAACGACTCCCCAGAGGCACGTCCTTCCTCCCTAATTGTGCTCTCTTCGATATTCGGCTGTTGCTTGTCCCAATTTTCGTATCGCATTCACCCCGTTGTGATTCTGGTGGGGTTGGGAGTGTTTTGTTTTCCTTTGTTAGCCAGGGTGTTGGACCACGACAACGAGCGATCGACCGTTCACAAACTGTCGAGCGCGTAAACTCGGACGCATTCATCATTCCGAGATCATCGACGAGTTAAATCCGCTTCCCCTCCTGTCCTCACACCGGCGCCAGCACGATAGAGTCCCCCCCGTATCGCGTTGTCCCATGGCCCGACGAATCCAATGAGGCATTGCCATCAACCACCTCTAAACGCAAACCCCCAGGGCGGCCACGGAGAGCCAATATGGCCCCGAATCCCGCTTCCATAAGCAGCCTGCTACGACAGACCATATACTACCACCTGGACCATGCCTCCTTCGAGAACGCCCTGTTCTTCTCCGAGCGATACGTTGCCCAAGACCCCAAGTCCAACGAAGCTGCCCACCTCCTGGCCCTGAGCCACCTACGACTCCGCGACTTCCGATCCGCATATGATGTGTCCAAGCCGGCGGGCTACCGCGCCGTTCACCTCGGCTGCGCCTGGACCTTTGCCCAGGCCTGTCTCGCCTTGGAGAGATATCGAGACGGTGTAACGGCCCTCGAGAAGTCGAAACCCCTGTGGAACCAGCGAAATAATCTGGGAAAGCACTCGCCTACCGCACGATCGCCGACCCCCGATGCGTCATCGCTCTATTGTCTTCTGGGAAAGCTGTACCGCGGGAATGAGGACAAGAAGAAGGCCATTAGCTGCTTTGAGGAGGCCCTTAAGATGAACCCCTTTCTGTGGGATGCCTTTACAGCTCTCTGCGACATGGGTGTCACAGTTCGTGTGCCCAACATATTCAAATGCTCCGACCAGCTGATGCAAGGTCTCAACTTGGATAACGCCAGTTCCTTGGAATCTACCACTACCACCAGCACGTCGGACTTGACGGTCAAGAAGTCCTTGTCACGGCTGGCAAATGGGGAATGGACCGCCGACCCCTTTGGAAGCTCTACCAACTCCGACGTCATGGTGACCGACATCGACATGGCTAGCGAACCAACACAGTCCGATTTTATGTCCAAGATTCAGGCGGCTAGGTTGAAATACGCCGCGAACTCGACAAACGGCCAGACGAACGGAGATATTGCTGAGACGCCCACGACTTCAAGTCTCCATGAAGTCCCTGCTGCTACTCGCCACATCGCGCAGCACGAGCCACCTCAAGCGCCGCATCGTCGTGTACGCACCGCGCAAGCGATGGATTCTGGCATGGAAGCGCCGCCTCGCATGAACTATAGGTTGGGGGCGAGGAAAGCTGCAACCAGGGAGAAGGATAGGGATGACCACGCGCAAAAGTCCATGGGGGACTTGGTGTACCAAGAGTCGGAGGGCGCCAGTGACCGGCCGCGAATCGCCGCGCCGTCGGTTGTAGAGCGGAAGAGAACAGTGTCTGGCCATCCCGTACCAAGGTCGACAAACTCAGAGGAATCAGGCACTCGACGAAGCGCCAGATTAAACACCTTCAAGCCCTCTTCGCTGGCCAATTCCGGCGCGGTGACCATAGGAGGAGCCGCGGGCCGTGAGTTGAAGAAGGCTAGGCCCCACGTTTCTCGCATTGTCCGACCAGGCTCGAGCGGTTCCAACGTTGGTAGAGTAGTCAGTGGAAACCGCAAGCCTATCCTGGACCACAGAGCCGGTGACAATGATCACGGCGAGACGGCAAGGACCAGAGAGGTTGCCCCTCAACCGGTCCCCTCGAAGTCGGTCGAGGCTGATAATCAAGCCAAGGTCGAGGAGGCCCTACGATGGGTCTTGGACTTGATGAAGAAGCTCGGCCACGGGTATTATCATCTGTCGCGATTTCAGTGCGATGATGCCCTGCAGGCCCTGAGCTCTCTACCCGCAGTCCACCAGTCCACACCTTACGTGCTTGCGCTTATGGGGCGGGCACATTTCGAGCAGGCTGCATATCCCGAGGCTGAGAAGTTCTTTAGAAAAATGCGTGTGCAAGCACCATCGCGCCTTGAGGATATGGAGGTGTACTCGACTATTTTATGGCACCTAAAACGAGAAACTGACCTTTCGTTCCTGGCGCATGAACTCATTGATGCCGCATGGAACTCCCCACAAGCTTGGTGCGCTCTGGGCAATGCATGGTCGCTTGCCCGGGATCCTGAGCAGGCCTTGCGCTGCTTCAAACGGGCTACTCAGCTAGACCCCAAGTTTGCCTATGCCTTTACTTTGCAAGGCCACGAGCACGTGGCAAATGAGGAGTACGACAAGGCTCTGACGGCGTATCGACAGGCTATCGCAGCTGACCGCCGTCACTACAATGCATACTATGGCATTGGAAGGGTGCAGGAACGCCTCGGAGCTTATGACAAGGCCTATGCTCATTTCCATGCCGCCTCCACGATTAACCCCAACAACGCAGTGCTCATCTGCTGTATCGGGACAGTGTTGGAGAGGCAGAACCAGATCGTCCCGGCGCTGCAGGCATACACTAAGGCCGCGGAGCTTGCACCCCGGGCGGCGCAAACACGGTTCAAGAAGGCTCGTGGGCTCTTGGCCCTGGGCCACATCGACGCTGCACACAAGGAGCTCATGATACTCAAGGATTTGGCTCCGGATGAAGGAACTGTTCATTTCTTGTTGGGCACATTGTACAGAACAGTGAACGACAAGGCTGAGGCCACCAGACACTTCACCATTGCTCTAGCTCTGGATCCAAAGGTGAGAGAAAGCAAACACTACATTTCATCTGGCCTTGAGACAACCCAAACTAACCTTAATTTCCCACACAGGCCGGGCCCAAAATCAAAGAAGCTATCGAGGCTTTCGAAGATGATGTACAGATGGATGATTCTATGATGGAATAATGTCGCACAAACAAAAGATCCTCCACACAATAGTTCCAACAGCTCACTCCTGGCTAATTTCTGAACACTAATGCCAGAGAGTGCGGCGAGGTCATGGGATAACGAGACATGAGGAGTCGTCGGTCTGGGTCGTACTTTGCAACACTCGGCAGAACAACACAAAACAAACATATGCGCAACGTAATTAATGGCACGGAAGCGGGGGGCGCGGCAACCGGGAGTGGATGGTACATGTGAGGTGGAAGTCTACCGCCCGTCTGCCTAATGCATACGGGAAGGTGAGACGAGGTTATCTGCATATCCTGCTGCATGGCGTCGGGCGTTTTGTGAGCAGCGGACCAATGCTGGCAACCTGGGGTGACATCCGATGGGAGGGAGGGTAAGGGGCTGGCGTTTGAGGAGCAGGGCTCTTGTCTTTTTTCTTTTCTTTTTTTCTGCTTCTTGTTGTGTTTTTCTTCACCATTCTTGTTACTTGTTAGGATCTGCCCCTTGTTCTTGTCTCCTCAGGGTTGCTTGTACATAGTAGTAGCGAGGCATCTGCAGTAGTGGTGTGTACCAGTTTATGGATGGATGAATCGGAACGGGATATAGATGGACGGCAAGTCAGTACCCGGGTTTTGGTCAGGATAGAACAGTGCGTTTGGACATGGCCGAAATGAAAGATGACTTGCCACCCAATACGCGACGTTGCACGCCCCGTTTTCTCTGTGTTGGCCGACCGGTCCCTAACAGATTTGTCCCACCTGGCTCTGACGGCACCGGTTCTTGGCGGGTGATGTCTAGATCGGTCCCAACCTGCCTTGGCGTCGGGACACGGCGTTGCCAACACAGCCCTGCTCTCATGCCGCTTCCCGCGACCTGCCCACCCACGGCGCGCCACTCAGGGAAGGAGGATTATGTCCGCGGGTGCTACGGCAGGATTAAGCATGTTTCAACGTCGGGAGGGTGCTGGGCATAAGGTGGGGTGACCGGCCGATGATATCCCAAGTTGGTTGCCTCTGCATCGGCGGAGCACGGCTTTATGAGTGAACAGTTTCAACTAAGGCATGTTGCCGTCCGAGATGAACACACGGAGCTTCATGCGAGGACTGAGGCTGTGCTAGGGACGGTCTGGAGCGTAGTGGATATGAGGTGGTTGACCGTCCGGCGATCTCCCAAGTTGGTTGAGTCTGCATCGGCGCAGCATGGCTTTATGGGTGAACAGTTTGAACTAAGGTATGTTGCCGTACGAAATGAATGCATGAAGCTCTATACGAGGACCGAGATTGCGCTAGGAGAGGTTTGGAGGGACACAGCAAGGGTGAAGGTGGGCTGACTCTGGCGATCTTGGCGGCTTCTGCGTTGGCAGAGGACCGAAGAGTTTCAACCAAGGCATGTTGCCGTCCGAGATGAACACACGGGGCTTCATGCGAGGGCCGTGACTGTGCTAGGGAAGATCTGGAGGCTACTGGATATGAGGTGGTTGACTCCGGCGATCTTGGCTGCTTCTGCGTTGGCAGAGTACGGCATATATGAGTAAAGAGTTTCAACCAAGGCATGTTGCCGTCCGAAATGAACACACGGAGCTTCATACGAGGACTGAGATTGCGCTAAGGGAGGTCTGGAGGGACACAGCAAGGGTGAAGATGGTGCTCCTGGATGTGTTGTCCGCCGCACGCTGCTCATACCCGTCTGCACCGTGGCGTATCGACGGGATGTAGCTGGGAGATTCGTGTTTGTGCCACGGAGATGGCGTAAGCTTTTGCTGCAGAGATCGAGATCGGTCGTATGGAGGGTTTCCGCCGACGTCTGGACTTTTGTGCCTTTTCTGCCTCTGCTCGTAGGTCTTTTCGCCCGGTCGATTTTGGGTATAAAGCTGGGCTTTCCCTCCCTCGACTTCCCAACTTTTCTTTCCTCTTCAGTCCTCCCAAGATGCCACCACCCCAACCCAGAGTCCTCCTTTGATCCCCCTCCTGGCCCTCCTTCTGGGTATAAAGATAGGCTTTCCCTCCCTCGACCTCTCAACTTTTCTTGTCTCTTCAGTCCTTCCAAGTGGCCACCACCTCAACCCAGAAGTTCCTCTTCGACCCCCTCCTGGCCCTCCTTCTGGGTATAAAGTAAGGCCTCCCATCCTCCTTTCTTTCTCAGCCCTCCTAAGATGCCACCACCCCAGACTTGCCTTCTTACATGGCTACCCTTCATGAACCCTCTGGCATGTCTGCCCTTTCCATCTGGGACTACCCACAGGCCTGACCCCCTTATGTCTTTCCCCCACCTCAACAAAATACCGTTGTCCTTCCTTGTCGTGTGATCCACCTTTGACTGGGTCACTATTTATGTGAGTCCACCAGCCTGGATTCTATTCTTGTTTCGGTATCCCCAGGTTAGGCCAGGACACTCTCGGCTGTCTGTCCCTCTCTCGCGGCAGTTCCTCACATCAGCTCTTTCCTAGCTCCCAGGCTTGATGATGCCAAGTGAGCCAGGGCTGCTGTGCCCCTTCCTTGGTTGTGCAATTGATGGCTGCCGGCTCGTGAGATCTTCTGTTGATGAAAACCCTCAATGTCCGCCTTCCGCAAACCCTCGGACGTGTGCCCTTGCTCTCTTGGGGTGGTGGCAGGTGTAAGTTGATCTTCCATTCCCTTAACCAATGCATGTAAGATGGCTAACATATTCAAAGGGGGGTATATGAATCGATGGATCCGTCGGACAAGTGATTGCGACGTGCCTTGCTCTCTTGGGGTGGTGGCAGGTGTAAGTTTGATCTTCCATTTCCTCAACCGATAGATGATAGATGGCTAATATATCCAAAGGCAGGCATACGGATCGATGGCCTTGACAACAACAAATGGACAGGTCACACTTCACTTGGGGTGGTGCTTGAGGCAGTGCCCCCACGGAGTTCGTTCGAGGGGGTTGTTGTGGCACTGGAGAACCGTCTGATCGTTGGGGTTGGACGTTTGGCTTCCTCTCAATGCTGTTCTCATCACACAGCCTGTTGTTACGGTTGCCGGTTGTTGGTATGTATCTTGTTGACTGTCTTTGGTACGAGCTATTGCTAACTATTATTAGAACGTCAAATCTGGCGGAGCATATGACCACATACTGATGTCTTGCTTTGCAGGAGCATTAATGATGTTGGCCAGGCGAGAGCACGATTGACTGGGGTGGTGGCTCGCTTGGGGTGTAATGCTCTGCCTTGAGGTCGTCCGCCGTCACGCGCATGCTACTCCATGATGGGGAGATGGAAAGATGTTGCGGAGGAAGAGCATGACATCAAGTCCCAACGAGGGCTGTGCCGAGATATTATGCGGCATGTCTTCGGCCGCAGGGAAACCATCCGATTTGGGGGTCAGTGAGGATTCCATTATGGAACAGCCAGTCATCTGTGGGAGGACTCTGGTGTGCCGTCGAGGCAGTGATGGCGTGATTCTTCCTGACCAAAGCGGACCTGGAGGCTAACCATCTGGAAGAGAACTGATGGGAGAGGGAGCGCCTGCCGTGGGGAGGCAGGACACGAGCGGCACGAGGCGACGCTATCCAATTAGGTGGACGCCTGGTTCTCTCAATTTACTGAGAACGATTTATATCCGGTGGCACGGAAGGACGAGGACATACTCTCAGCGGGCTGGCGTTTCCACTGCGAGCAATCTCAACAAAGGACGCCAGGGCGTATGATGCGGCCCGGGGTCAGCCAGTCTCAGGCCTGGGCATGGCCGACAGCCCGCACGCGGTATGATGGAGGAGAGTTGGATGACAAGACTGACTCAGGCGTCTTGGGTTGTGTCTTTGGTCATGTCACGGCGGCTCAATCTGTGTCATCCTGTCGACGATTCACTATCCCTTTCTCCAATGATGGTTCTTCTTGAACGACATTTCTGGGACCCTGACCCTTGACTCACGTCTCCTCAACACACTTCAACATCACACAAGAGATGATATTTCGTTCCTGGGCCTGGTCACCCGAGGGTCAGCTTACATACGGACATCGAGACTTTCCATTGGAGCATGACCATCTTTGATTGGTTGTTTGGGCACTTATACATCTTCGATTCTATGGAGTCCCCTTGTTGGACGCGATGGACATGCTTATACCTATCCGGAGTTTCTTTATTATTTCTGGAGTTCCGTTGTGGCTCTAGTACCGCAGCCACCATATCTTTCTGCGCTTTCTGCGGATCACCTAGTTGATTGCTATGGATGAACTGCCGTGTTCCCCCTTCGACACTTGAGCCCCCTCCCGGGTTGGAACGGCCGCGGCTTCTCCCTTTGCTAGGGAGTCGATAACGTTGCTCTCCTTACGTTTCTTTCGGATGTGCTACCAGTTCCAGCTCCAGCTCTGGTCGCAGCGGTTAAGCCAACACCAAGCAAGTCTCGCAAAACGCAAACGACAAAGAAGAAGCCCACGGCCAAGGAACCTCCAGCTAGTTCTACCCAGATCACAGCGTTGGCTGCCATTTTGCTCAGCGTGGGAGAGTTGCGCTTCATTGCGGCTGAGCTTGATGCCTGTTGGGCATTGATGCGTACAGACCACTTCGATGAACTTTGAGTTTGAAGATCCAGTGTCAGCTGCACGATTTGCCATGCTCATACCCCGCGAGTTTCAATCCAAGACAGCGGTGCAGCTATATTCCGGCAGATGATCATCAAAAATATCATCTCCATTCAGATGGCAAACAGAACGTTGACATCGGCCGACGCCATAGTGGGTGCCATGTTGCTAGACGCACAAGGAAGTGCAATGAGCATTACGCTGGTAGCCAAGGATGTACTGGCGGCCAGGTGGCAGGTTTGGCTAACAATTATGTGTCAAATCGTTGGCTTGGCAGTTATCCTGGAGTTGAATTGATTGCCAGCTCCTGGTTGCTAAAAGAGTTTCTACCAATCTATTCTACGGTCTAGGAGTGCACAAAATGAAGGGATGCTGGCTGAGCCAAGCCAAACCATCTCGTTTGCTTGCGCATTTATGCCGTCCCTCGCGAATTGGCATCCCGGCGACGATACTATTATAGCGGGTGGCATTC